TTCTGCCCTTAATTATTCAATAGTCTAAATCCAATGGGATAAAAGAAAAAAAAAAAGAAAGAAATTCACACTTACCAAGTAAGTGTTTGTGAGTCAAATAAAGTTAAAAGCATTCTCATTCTCATTGGATAACTCATTAGAGAGTATGATTTTTCTCACCCAGGGTTAATGGAATTCTTACATTTAGACAACTTCCTTTAAAATAATATAGTGGTGAACTTTACCCTTCAGTACAGTTAAAGTGACTTTGGATAATTGTTTAAGTTGATCCTCGCTTTAGTTTGATACCAGGTAGTGGTCTGTGGCTACAGGAATCTTATTCTACTGTCTGCTTCCACTGCCTACTTAAAAAACTGTCTGACTTCATGGATACAGAGACCAAATTTACCACTTCTAATGAAAGGACCAATTAAGATTCATCCTCTGCCGGGCGCGGTGGCTCACGCCTGTAATCCCAGCACTTTGGGAGGCCGAGGCGGGGGATCACAGGTCAGGAGATCGAGACCATCCTGACTAACAGGTCAGGAGATCGAGACCATCCTGACTAACACGGTGAAACCCAGTCTCTATTAAAATTTTAAAAATTAGCGGAGGCGAGAACCCGGGAGGCGAAGCTTGCAGTGAGCCGAGATCGCGCCACTGCACTCCAGCCCGTCTCGAAAAAAAAAAAAATTCATTCCTCATTCTGTTTTTTTACCATGGAAAAAGGATCCTGATGGAACAAAATTAAATTAATTCTATACCCTACTATATGTAGGTTTCACCCTTAGGCAAAACTTAGCGTTTTGTAGGGAACATTGATCCTTTCTCCCAAACGAGGAAGATTTAACAGCGTTAGAGCTCTTATGCCCTTGCACTGAGACTTCAAGTTAGTACATCCTTAAAGGCTTTTTCATAGCAGACTTCCAAACGATTGTACTTAGAATTTTTGGCATACTTCTAATTTTGGACCTTCAGTTGACTTTAGCTATGACAGAGAGTAGGTTAAGACTCATGTGTGTGACCTTTACTCTAAGACCAGCTAGTAAAGGACTAGTCTTTTATGTTAGCCAAAATTCATTTCAATAGAAAATAATCTTATCTAATTAATTTCTGAGACCAGAATAAGCCTTGAAAGGTAAGCCTCAATGTTCTCATTTGTGGTAATACTGCTTGTTTCAGTCCCAATAGGTTTGGCATAGGAGATAATAACCACACTGGTGTCTGACTACATTTTTAGATATTTCTCTGAAAAATGCAAGGCTGTTGGTGAGAGCAGACATGAGGTGATGATAGTTGGCCTCTGGTCTCCACAGATTTTGTAACTCCTTGGTGAGTTTGTGTGTGTGTGTGTGTGTGTGTTTCTAATAATCATTATAATCATGACAATAATCATCCTCTACCTCTCAGTAGCTAGAAATTTAGAGTAGTTGAAATCTGAAATCTGTAGGAATGGATCTCTGAGGGCCAAAAATATGACATATTTGGAGCAATTCTTAAATGGATTAACAAGCTGTAATATAGTTTCATGAATTTATTCCACTGACGCTCTACCTTGTGGTATTAAATGAGTATTGTTTTCTCCCCTTTAATATTGCTGTAAACAGTGGTGCCCATTGTAGGATATGTTTTATTTTTTAAATGTCGTATATGAGAACTATCTTAAATGTACATGTGTTTCTTCATTGTAAATAAGCTTGTCTTCTTATGGCGATTTTTTGTGTGTGTATACTTTCTACTGATTAATTACTTCTGCAGTTTGAATCCTATATTATTTCTTCTACTTTGTTATATATAAAAGGAGAAAAATGTTAGAAGCTGGGGGAAAAAAACAGTAGAAGTGATGGTATAACACTTCTGAGGCTGGACTATAAAATATATATCTCTCTCTCTCTTGCTTTCTCTCTCAACACACTATAAAGAGAGACATGTGATAAGAATCTGGGGACTCTTGCCAACAGCTATGTGAGCAAGCCGTCTTGGAAGTGCACCCTCCAATCCTAGTCAAGAGACTAGAGGGAGAGAGAAAGATAAGAAAATCTACCCATACTAAGACTTTGAGTAAGGGAAATGCAGTAAAGAGAGAGTATTGTAATTCCTTTCCCTGTTTTTACTATGCCCAAAAGTTTTCACACAGCTGTGATTATTCTGCATAATCAATTATGCACCCTGGTTTTCTTGATTCATTGTTATATCATAAGCAGTTCACCATTTTTATGCAGTCTTTTTTTTTTATGCTTTAAGTTCTAGGGTACATGTGCATAATGTGCAGGTTTGTTACATATGTATACTTGTGCCATGTTGGTGTGCTGCACCCATCAACTCGTCAGCACCCATCAACTCGTCATTTACATCAGGTATAACTCCCAATGCAATCCCTCCCCCCCATTTTTATGCAGTCTTAATGAATATCCTTTATTTGCTATGTGGTAGGTAAAATTTCAGTGAATAGACCCAAGATTCCCTGCCCTAATCCCCAGAATCTTGAATGTGATGCAGTATTACTCTGGTAATTGTGTTGGGTTCTATGGCACAGTTGACTTTTTGTTTTGTTTTATTTTGTTTTATTTTGTTTTGTTTTGTTTTACTTTCCGAGACAGAGTCTCCTCTGTCCCCCAGGCTGGAGCACAGTGGTGCAATCTCGGCTCACTCCCATGTCCAAGCAATTCTCCTGCCTCAGCCTTTCTAGTAGCTGGGATTACAGGTGCCCACCACCACGCCCGGCTAATTTTTTTGTATTTTTAGTACAGACAGGGTTTCACCATGTTGGCCAGGTTGGTTTTGAACTCCTGACCTCAAGTGATCCACCAACTTGGCATCCCAAAGAGTTAGGATGACAGGCGTGAGCCACCGCGCTGAACCAACAGTTGACTTTTTTTTTTTTTGAGATAGAGTCTCATTCTGTTGCCCAGGGCTGGAATGCAGTGGCGCGATCTCGGTTCACTGCAACCTCCGCCTCCCAGGTTCAAGCAATTCTCCTGCCTCAGCCTCCCGAGTAGTTGGGATTACAGGCACCTACCGCCACGCCTGGCTAATTTTTGTATTTTTAGTAGAGACGGGGTTTCACCATATTGCCCAGGCTGATCTCGAACTACTGACCTCAGGTGATCCTCCTGCCTCGGCCTCCCAAAGTGCTGGGATTACAGGTGTGAACCACCACACCCCGCCCACAGTTGACTTTTTAAAAGGGAGATATGTATGTACCTGTTGACATGAGACCTTAAAAACACATGAACTTTGGAAGATTAAGCCAGAAAGATTCCAAGCATGAGATGAACTTGACATGTTATTGTTGGTTTGAAGATGGTGAGACTCACATGAGAAGGAGTGCAGATTGCCTTAAGGAGCTCAGAAATGCCCCCAACCAACAAACATTAAGAATATGGGAACTTTAGTCCCACATCTACGTGGACTAGAATTCTGATAATAGTAAGAACTAGCCGGGCACGGTGGCCCAAACTAGTAATCCCAGCACTTTGGGAGGCTGAGGCGAGCAGATCACTTGAGGTCAGGAGTTCGAGACCAGCCTGGCCAACAAGATGAAACTTCGTCTCTACTAAAAATAGGAAAATTAGCCAGGCATGGTGGCAGGCGCCTGCAATCCCAGTTACTGGGGAGGCTGAGGCAGAAGAATCACTTGAACCCAGGAGGCAGAGGTTACACTGAGCCAAAATCATACCACTGGACTCCAGCCTCAGCAACAGAGCAAGACTCCATCTCACAAAAAAAAAAAAAAAAAAAAAAAAAAAAGCACCTGTAATCCCAACTGAGGAGGCTGAGTCCGGAGAATTGCTTGAGCTCAAGAGTTCAAAACCAGCCTGGGCAACATAGCAGGACTCTGTCTCTACAAAAAAAATATATATATATATATATTAATTAGCCAGGTATGGTAGTGTGTGCCTATAGCCCTAGCTACTTGGGAGGCTGAGGTGAAAGAATTCCCTGAGGCCAGGAATTTGATCCCACAGTGACCTATGATCATGCCACTGCCCTCTACCCTGGGCAACAGAGAAACACCTTGTCTCTAAATTTTAAAAAATATATAAAAATAGGCCAGGCACGGTGGCTCATGCCTATAATCCCAGCACTTTGGGAGGCTGTGTCAGGCGGATCACGAGGTCAGGAGATCAAGACCATCCTGGCTAACAAGGTGAAACCCTGTCTCTGTGAAAAATACAAAAAATTAGCCAGTCATGGTGGCGGGTGCCTGTAGTCCCAGCCACTCAGGAGACTGAGGCAGGAGAATGGCGGGAACCCAGAAGGCGGAGCTTGCAATGAGCCGAGATCACGCCGCTGTGCTCCAGCCTGGGCAACAGAGCAAGACACCATCATATATACATATATATATATATATTTATAATAGAAAAAAACTTAAAGAATTAACTTGGAAGAGGACTCTGAACTCTGAACTCTGGGTGAGAACTTGAGCACTCACCCAGCCAATGCCTCGACTTTACTATGGTTATGTCCTGAGCATAGAACTCAGCTGAACTTGCTTGGACTTACGACCTACAGAAATACAAGCTAATATACGGGTATTGTGGTAATTTGTTATGCAGGAATAGAAACTAATACAACTTTAAAATATTCCATTGAGCATAGCATTCACAATATCATTTGCATAATATTATTTTCCCTAATTGACAACTATATGAACAATTCATACTCACCAAGTCCAAAGTCCTTAAATATCATTTCTATGGCTTGTTTGGTTTCCTTGTAAACTGGAAAAATCAAAGCCTCATTTCTCGCCTGCATTTATTTAAGTGAGAGCTCGAAAAAATGAATTGTTAGACAAAAGGAACATGAACATTTCAGTGGCCTGGATTCATGTTGTCAAGATTACTTTCCAGGATGACTATGTCTGTTCAAATTCCACCTCAAATGTTCATTTTATAAATTAGAATGAAAAGCACTCCTACCTCACCCAAAGAGAATTTCGTTTAATCGTTGACTCCAAAAAAAATATATGTAGCATATGACTGACCATATAACTATGTTAACTTGGAGCAGCCCTCACTTTTGATGTCCCAATAACCTGCAATCTGAGCTTCCGCTCTCTGATCAGCTTTATCTCATGTGGAGGTAGCCACACACACTGATGTACTCTCTGAACCTAGCTGACAGCAAGTTGTAGCATTTAACAGACTTCATTAAAAGATCTGAAGAGAACATAAGGGAATTATAAAGCAGGAAAGGAAAATCTTCACATTTACTGTAAATTTCTATTGTACTTAATGCCTACCGACTACATCTTTTCATGGGAATCTCCTACTGGCTCTCCTGCCTCACCCAGTTTGCTACCAAATTGCTTATGTTCACTCTTCTTTCCCATCTTCTACAGACTGCCCTGATTATGTTCATGCTCCCCACGTCTAAAGCCCCTAAACTTCACTTCTAGCCTGAGTTATAAACCTCCGAAATATGTTGATTATATTTATTTATCAAGGATGCACATAATGAAGAGAGCCTTTCATAATTAATCAGAATACTTAACATCTCACGCTGAAGCATTTGCATTTGGATTTCCAAAGTTCAGAGTTCCCGCAAAGAAAATGAGTATCACCACAGGGATCCTTCCAGAGCAACAATCCACCCGAACGACAAACTCCACCTAATAGCTTTAGACCCACAAGATACAAATAGTGGTCAGGATTTCACTTTCCACAAACCAAGGGTAGAGAAATACTGAGTTCCAGTCCCAGGGATCCTACCACATAATACTTAGTGAAAATTCAAGACTGGAATTGAAATAACTAAACTTAAATAGACCTTACTGTGTGCCACTACTTCTCTGAGTAACACTAGATATAACTATAGATATAGATGATATAGAGAGAGAGTCATAACTCACAACAGCCTTGTGAGGTAAATACTCTTATTATTCTCACTTTATAGATAAGGAAATAAACCAAAACAAAAAAAAAATTAGTGACTGACTTAAGACAACCCAACTAGAAAGTAGCAAACTCAAATCCAGGCAGTCTGGTTCCAAAGTCCCCAGTCTTAACTCACAGCAGGCATACACTCAGGAAGTATAACTTCTTGCTGCTGTGGTTGCCTTTCGAATTTTGTTGCAGCTGAAGAGACCTCATAGTCACCGTGTCTCTCACAGCACAAAGGTAAGAGGCAGAGTCTTTCATCTGGAGCTCCTTCAAAAGGAGGTAACTGTACCTTTTCGAGTTACTAAGGAATGAAGAAAAACGATCTTTCTGCTCCAAACCATCCAGAACATTGTAAGAGAGAAGTATGGGTGCTTCGCCATCATGTTGCTGGTACCAGGACAGCCCATTGAACCCAGATGTCTGGTACGTGCAGTTGATCTGGACAATGGCTCCTTCCATAGCTGTCATCTCAGTGGGCTGGTCAATGTTTTGTCCTGTAGTACCTAAGACAAGACACATGACTGTTACTAGGGCAGTGCTCCTGGAAGCCTCATTATTATTAAAAATGATGTCTCCATCATTTTTGGTCACATTTTTGTTGGTCACAAAAGAACTGCCATTAAGGGGAGATTCTTAGAAATAAATGGCAGCTATTATTTGATATCCAATAACAATTAGCACCACATAAAGAAAATATCAATTAAGAAATACTCTTTTGTTACAAGTGTCAGAAATGGCAATCATTTAGCTGAAAGAAAATCATTTTGAAAACTCCCAGCAGCATTTGCTATTAGATTGAGACTTACCTCCCATCTTCATGGAAACATAAAGAAGGAAAGCTCCCCACATCTGCTGCAGGACACCACGAGCCTGGCACTGCATCCCCGGTTCCTGAGCCACTGGAGTCTGCAGAAGGTAGACACTTCATGTGGGTGAGGGAAGGAAGCTCAGTCTGGATGCAAAACCCAATAGAATTACAAGGGGAGGAGCCCCTTTCTTGAAGGGATGACTCTCAGCTTCCTTCTACAGAAGCAGTTATAGGTTCTCTTACTACAGAAGTGTCTTCACATGAACATCTCCTACAGAGAAATCCACAAGTTTTAATCCAAGTGGTTCTGGTAAAGTTGAAAAAGCATAATGTATAAAGAACAGAGAAGGCAAATGGGAATAACATAAGGCCAAGTATTCAATTTCCCCATAAGTGTTTCTCTTCTCAAGATGGGAAAAAATGGAAACAAGGGTGCAATTAGAGGTGGCGTGTATATGTGTGTGTGCGTGTGTGTGTTGGTGGTAGTGGTGGTGGTATTTGTGACAATAAGGGAGAGACAGAGTTTTCAACCATCTAAATTTATCCCCCAACAGATGATCAGATATTAATTTAAAGTTCAAAAGAAACATAATTTGTATGTCTGTATGTGTATGTATATATAAGAATATACAGCAATGAGAAAAAAGCTATTAACATTAGACACTGCCGGGCGTGGTGGCTTACGTTTGTAATCCCAACATTTTGGGAAGCTGAGGCAGGTGGATCACCTAAGGTCAGGAGTTTGAGACTAGCCTGACCAACATGGTGAAATCCCATGTCTTTTAAGAATACAAAATTAGCCGGGCACAGTGGCACATGCCTGTAATCCCAGCTACTCGGGAGGCTGAGGCAGGAGAATCACTTGAACCTGGGAGGTGGAGGTTGCAGTGAGCTGAGATCACACCATTGTACCCAGCCTGGGTACGAAATCCCATCTAAAAAAAAAAATTAGTTACTTCAGAGGAGTGAAATTAAAAGAAAATGGTGAACATGTTAACTTTTTCTTATATATCTCTGTTTCGTTTGACTTGAAATTGGTTGCATAACAAATTGAGAATGTGGAAGAAAGAAAAAGAAGGAATAAAAAAGGAAGGAGGAAGACTAGGTGTAAAACAGGAAGGAAAAGAGGGAGGAAGAAAGAAACCTATATTTCAAACTATTTCCCATGTGTTACAAAAGGAAGTTAACTCCTTTTGATACATAGTTTGCCCAAACTAATGAATGCCTCACATATAATATCTTTACCAAAGTAATTTATATCCCTCATGAACTCTCTAGATTTATTTCTATTTACTCCATATAGCAACTGTACTTTGTTTCAATAAAGATGATACTGTCATCTTGTGGCGAAATGTAGCAGTGCAACTTCACACACACACACACACACACACACGCGCGCGCGCGCGCGCGCGCCTAAAGTTTTCTCACTTTAGAATTAAAAAGAAACTTAGATATCATCCAGTCTTTGTCCAGCTCCATTTTTTACAGGGGAAGTTCTTGAAACTCTTGAAGCTTTTATCAAATCTTCATTTATAGTCAATTTCCCAGTGTTATTTAGATTAACATGAAGTTTTGTTTTGTTTTTTTGAGAGAGGGTCTCTCTCAGTCGCCCATGCTGGAGTGCAGTGGCGGGTTCATGGTTCACTGCAGCCTCAACCTTCTGGGCTCAAGCGATCCTTCTGCCTCTACCTCTCAAGTAGCTAGGAATACAGGCCCCCAGCTAATTTTTTGTATTTTATTGTGAGATGAGGTCTCGCTATGTTGTGCAGGCTGGTCTTGAACTCCTGGCCTCAAGCGATCCTCCTGCCTCGGCCTCCCAAATTGTTGGGATTACAGGCATGAGCCACTGCGCCCTGCCCAACATTAAATATGAAAAATGAATAAATGAATTTCCGAAGCTACTTGGCCTGGTATATACAGGTCAATCGAGGATCAATTTGATGTCAGATCTACTCCAGGTAATTTTAAACATTAGACTTATATTTGAAACCACAGCTTTTTTTGCTGCCCACAGCATTTAACATGTGTGGCAGTTTTGACTATTAATTTATTCAGAAGTACACATTGAGAAATTATTACATGCCAGGCACTGTGCTAGTAGTGCTGGGGATTCAAAGCTAAGCAAAGCCTATATTCTAGTGAAGGGAGACAAGCAGGAAGCAAATAAGTAAGTACAGTATGTCAAATGCTGGCAAGTGCTCAGAGAAAAATAAAATAGGGAAGGGAAAGGAGAGAGGCAACAGAAACCTCTCTGATTAAGTGATGCCTGAACAGAAACCTGAAGATGATGGTGGAATCCTGATGAGTATTTGGGGAGGGAAGGGGATCAGTTGGGACTTCATAACACCCCTAAGAAATTAGAGGTCATCCAAATAACATGCAAACGAGGTTATTCCCCACAGTTCCCTTTCCAGGGATCCTACTAAAAACATTTCCAGCTCTCTCTCAAAACAAAATAATGAGGATTTGGGGAGGAAAGATCTCATCAGGGACATATTCCAGAGTAGGGTTTCCCTCAAGGATAGAATTTTTCTTCAAATCTCTTGGCAGTGTCTTTTTTTCTTTTAATCCAAAAAAGCAACAGCTGATGGAAACTGATATAAAATATGACTGAATATATACAACAGTCACATTCATCCACGGACCCCAAAAGACAGTTGCTCTGACAGATTCTGAACACTTATTTGCTGGGCCAAACCCCTAAAAAAAAATTATAAAGCCTTTCCAAAACAGATGTGGGAGCCCTTCATAGTAGGCTAGACCGAATCTCTGAAAACCATCTCTCCATCCACTGGACGGTTGCACTCAAGGACAGCCAGCCTCCTCCACAATTGTGCAGCTCTGTACATGTGAGTCTAAAAGAATGGAAAAAGCAGCCCTGACACCAGCTATGTTCAAAACAAGGCTGTAGACTAATTTTGGAACTTTAAGACTTTCTGTTATTTTGTCCGAGTGTTAATATAATCCATCTCTTCACTCCATCTGTTTCCTCAACTCTTTCCCAAACTGCTAGAATTAAGTTCCTTCTTTTCCAATTTGGGGAAACTCTTTTTGTGTTGAGAAAATGACTCAAAAAAAAAAAAAAAAACTTACAACACTATTTTCTTTTCGTGTTCTCTTTTTATTAGGGCAGTGATAAAGGGCAGAGTTGGGCAGCAATAGTCATGGGGTTATAAAGAACATTCTTCAGTGATTGTGCAAACACAAAGAAAGGCTTTATAGTCAATTTCCCAGTGTTATTTAGATTAACATGAAGTTTTGTTTTGTTTTTTTGAGAGAGGGTCTCTCTCAGTCGCCCATGCTGGAGTGCAGTGGCGGGTTCATGGTTCACTGCAGCCTCAACCTTCTGGGCTCAAGCGATCCTTCTGCCTCTACCTCTCAAGTAGCTAGAAATACAGGCCCCCAGCCTTTCCCTTCTCCAATGAAGAGGGCACGAAGTACTTTTTCTAAAGCAAGCTCTTTTTTTAACCTCCAGTAATAGGAAAGAATGTACTCTTGTGAATTCGACAAAATATGTCTAGGCCACCTCAAATTCTATCCGTTCCCTCTACTCTGCCCTAGCTCTACCAGGATGTCTAACTCTGAATGAAGGATGACAGAAGGTGAAACCTCTTTTTGGAAGCAGATGTGCGTTGAGTCTCGTCACAAGGGTAAACAGGAGTCCTTTGATCCTAATGTGTCCAACGCAATGCTGGACCAGCCTTCACTCCTCATCTTCAAGATTTCATAACCGTTGCATAGTAGTCCAGATCCCAAAGGTCACTGTAGAAATCTAAAGTTTCAAATTGCTGGATAAAGGCTTGCCCTCCTCGGCGCCTCTCTAAATACACTGCAAGAAATGTGTTCACATCAAACTAACTTGATTTGTGGCAGGGTAGGGGCATAGAAAGCAGCTTATCCTGTGATCCCATAATGCCATAGAGGTCCCTTGAAGGTGTTCTTGACCCTCTCTGTCCTTACCTTCTCAGTGCTATTCTTTCACCCCATTCCCAAAGTCTCTTCCTAGAGTTTCCAGGATAATTGCTTTGTAAAAATATGCTGTTTATTCTCTGATGTCACTGGGCTCTTATTTTCAGATGCTTTTTATATTGAACTTTAACTTTTTGTTATTTTCATATGCTCTGATTATTTAAATTCTGACCTATTCAGATGGAGAATATCCAATACAGTCTAAAACTTGGGAAATTTTAAAATATTTTGGTTATCTAATTAGCCAGGGTAGATATACTAAAATTGTATTTAACTTTCCTTATCTTAAATATCCTAAGTTTCAAAAGCTAAAAAAGAGGAGCAGACATAAAATAAAATGACACAAATCTGGAAGATAAGGGAGAGGGACAAGAGGATACACAAATGTGGCCTTTACCTTTGTCTTTTTTTTTCTTTTTTTTTTTTTTTTTTTTTCTTTGAGACAAGGTCTCAATCTGTCACCCAGGAAGGAGTACAGTGGCACCATCATGGCTCACTGAAGGCTTGACCTTCCAGGCTCCAGTGATCCTCTTGTCTCAGCCTCCTGAGTAACTAGGACTACAGGTGCGCACCATTAGACCTGGCTAATTAAAAAATTTTTTTTCACAGACAGGGTCCCACTATGTTGCCTAGGCTGGTCTCAAACTTCTGGGCTCAAGCAATTCTCCTGCCTCAGCCTCCCAGAGTGCTGGGATGGATTACAGGCCTGAGCCACCATGCCCAGTCTTTCTTTTGTCTCCTCTAAGGTGGTCCCAGACTGTTCACCTTTCTTGCCAAGAAAGCCAATCCTTCTGTAAAGACACCCTCTGTTTCTCCAAAAATTTACCTTCTGGAAGTCTAAACTATCTTCCTTTGCAACCTCTGAACACCAAGCACCAAGCTGAAATCACCGTTCTTTACCAAGTCTGCCTGGAAAGGTAACCTGACCTCAAACCGACCAGCTGTAACCCATCTCAGTTTCCTGCCTCCTCCCAGGCAGGGAACCCAGAACCTAGAGGGGTAAAAAGAGTTTTCTTTCAACAGGGAGCCTGGGAGAAATGAAACCTGACTTATGCACAACAACAGGGGGAAAGTCAGACTGACAAAGTAGATAAATTAGGGATAAACTTTTCACTATACGTAAGTATGCATCATGGAAGTCCTTCAAATAATTGCCCCAGTGGTACAGTTCTATCTGATTTTAAATACAAAAATTGATTTTCATAAAACATTTCATGAATATATTATTTGCCTAAGTAGAAGCGTACTAGTTTATATTCCTGTATTGACAAAGAAAATTACTTTAGCTCGGCCAGGCGTGGTGGCTCACGCCTATAATCCCAGCACTTTGGGAGGCCAACATGGGTGGATCATGAGGTCAGGAGTTCAAGACCAGCCTGGCCAATATGGTGAAACCCCGTCTCTACTAAAAATACAAAAATTAGCCAGGCATGGTGGTGTGCACCTGTAGTCCCAGTTAGTCAGGAGGCGGAGGCAGGAGAATCACTTGAATCTGGGAGGCAGAGGTTGCAGTGAGACAAGATCAGGCCACTGCACTCCAGCCTGGGCAACAGAGCAAGACTCCATCACACACACACACAAAAGAAAATTACTTTAGCTCATAATTAGTTCTTTTTTTTTTTTAAGAGACAGAGTCTCACTCTGTCTCCCAGGTTGGAGTGCAATGGCACAATCTCAGCTCACTGCAAGCTCTGCCTCCCGGATCATGCCATTCTCCTGCCTCAGCCTCCCAAGTAGCTGGGACTACAGGCGCCTGCCACCACGCCCAGCTAATTTTTATATTTTTAGTAGAGACAGGGTTTTACCATGTTAGCCAAGATGGTCTCGATCTCCTGACCTCGTGATCTGCCCGCCTTGGCCTCCCAAAGTGCTGGGATTACAGGCGTGAGCCATCACGCCTGACCATAATTAGTATTTTATGCACAATTTTAATCTTAACGCTATCTTTTCTCTATATTCTTTTTTTTTTTTTTTTTGAGACAGAGTCTCTCTCTGTCACCAGACTGGAGTGCAGTGACACGATCTCCGCTCACTGCAACCTCACCTCCTGGGTTCAATAGATTCTCCTGCCTGAACTTTCCAAGTAGCTGGGACTATAGGCCCCTGCCACCAGACCCATCTAATTTTTTTGTATTTTTAGTAGAGATGGGATTTCACCATGTTGGCCAGGGTGGTCTCAATCTCTTGACTTGGTGATCTGCCTGCCTCAGCCTCCCAAAGTGCTGGGATTACAGGCGTGAGCCACCGCACCAGGCCTCTTTTCTCTATAGTCTATATTCTAACCACAGAAATAAGATTTAGCTTTCCCATCCTAAAACTCAGGCAATAAAAATCTGATATTTCTGCTGACGAGTTGACGGGTGCAGCACACCAACATGGCACATGTATACGTATGTAACAAACCTGCACATTGTGCACATGTGCCCTAGAACTTGAAGTATAATTTTTTTAAAAAAATCTGATATTTCTTCGTTCTTGGTGGGCAAAGGGCAAGTTTAACATTTTCCACAGACTTCGAAGAGCCAGATATATTCAGTATTATTATTACTACTACTACTAACTTGTGAATGCTAACATATGAATTAAGTTGTTTCAGAGAATACTTAAGATAAAATTTCTTTGAGGAATTTCTGATAGAGATTAAATAGTTAAACTTATTAATGTTCACATGTTATTTATAATTAATCTATTGTCATTTTAATTGCTTTCTGAAAATAGTCATTTGCATTACAAAGATATTTTGTAGTTAAATGAAAGATAAATGCATCTCAAACCATACATAGAGTGAAAAGTCTTTATCAAGCAACCTATTCAACAAAAAGAGTGAAACAAACACATTCCATCCCTCTATCTATTTTATCATCTGGTTCAGATACTTGAAAATCTGTAAAGGTCTTTAGAGAGAGTTGCTGTTTGACAGACTGCAATACATAGATATTACACACAAGCACAAAAAAGATCAAGTCCTGCATTAATCAATGATTTTATAACAAACAATAAAAATTCCTCCGTGACCTCATACCAAAAAAAAAATCCAATCCCAAGCCAATGAACCATATAAATCAACAAAATAAATCTAAATGATATCCTGGAGCAAAAACAGGCATGAGTGTTTCTCGGAGTTTTTTAATAATGAAATTATACTCATATTACATAATGAGTGACATGATCCCTTGACCTAAAAGTCCCAGCCACGTGGGCACAAGGGTCAGGCAAAAAAGATCAGGCAGAGAAACAATGTATTCAGTCAGGGAGATTTGGCAACATCCATTCAATCCGCCTCAGTCATTCAGAAAATAATTATGATATTTATCACTTTTAGTGTGCTAGACAGGATGACTACTAAGGGAGAAAAAAAGAAATCAGACAATGCAACATAATGTATGTGCTCTGAAAAGTATAAGCATTGCCCTCAGGGATCGGGAAAGCCTTCTTGAAGGTGAAGACTCCGAACTGAATCCTGAAGGAAAAGTGGGCACTACCTATGTGAAGGGAGCAGAAAAGATAGTGTGTGCATAAGTCCCAAGTTAGAGCACGCTACGGTGAGAACCTTGAGGAGTGTCATGCATCCCAACAATGAGAAGGAATTACAAGTGATAGAACAGCGATATGAATAAGGGGCAGATAAGGAATATTTTTGCCTGCTATGGTGAGGAGATGAGATTTTAGCTGAGGACAAAGGGGACAATGACAGTAGGTGAAGAAAAAGTCGATGTGGTCAATGTACGGTGTTTGCTCCACACTTCTCTGTGTCAACCTTAGCCCCTCCTTGGTGAACTCACTTTTGGGTTGGAGTTTTCGGTACTTCTCTGTCACTCTCATGTGTCCCTCTTCCTTCATCTGGCAAATCCTGCCTCTCAGTATCTCTCAATGGACAAGAGTTTCCTCCCATCTAGGAAACTAACCAGCCTCTGGAGGGCTTCTCCTATTAAGTAACCTAAATAACTAATGGTGACACCACCTCCTCTTTTAAAAAACAATTTAACACTATCTTGTTTATCTCATAATTCCTAGGCACCAATCATCCGTCAAAAGCATTCACTTACAACATCATTGTGCTGTGTTTCTCTTGTCAAACTTCACCATTCATCTTAGCAGACTACAAAAAGACATGGGAAAGACCAAAAACACATCGCTGGACACTGTGGTGACAGATTTCATTCTCCTGGGCATGTCTAACCCCCCGAATCTAAGAAGCCTCCTCTTCCTGGTCTTCTCCATCATTTACATCCTCACGCAGCTGGGGAACCTGCTCATTCTGCTCACCGTGTGGGCTGACCCGAAGCTCCATGCTCGCTTACATGTGCATTCTTCTGAGGTGCTCTCATTCCTGGACATGCTGGCTCTCCTCAGTCATCGTTCCTCAGGTGGCCCCAAACTTCCTCCTGCCACCAGCAAGGCTATCCCACGTTTGGTGGCTGTGTGGCTCAGCTGTATTTCTTTCACTTCCTGGGCAGCACCCAGTGCTCCTCTACCTTGATGACACTATGACAGGTACCTGGCAATATGTCCAAGCCCTATATTACCAGTGCTCATGAATGGGAGGTTATGCACAGTCCTTGTGGCTGGAGCTTGGGTCGCTGGCTCCATTCATGGGTCTATCCAGGCCACCCTGACCTTTCATACTAACCTATTGGCCAGGCCCAATCAGGCTGTGCTGTCTGCTGACATCCCTGCAGTGAGACTGGCGCAATGCTGTCCTTTATCAATGAGCTTGTGACCTTTGTGGACAGCCAATTAGTGGCCGCCAGTTGCTTCATGTTAATTCTGCTTTCCTATGCCAACATAGTCCATGCCATCCTGAAGATCCATACTGCTGATGGGGAGGCGGCCGGGCCTTCTCCACCTGTGGCTCCCACTAACTTTGTGGTCACAGTCTGCTATATTCCTGTATTTTCATCTACCTTAGGGCTGGCTCCAGAGCCCTGGATGAGAACAGAAATTGACTGTGTTTTACCACACTGTTGTCACTCCATTCCTGAACCCCCTCATCTACACACTGAGGAATCAAAAGTAGAAGTCTGCTCTGAAGAGGATGACAGCAGGTCGGGAGGCCTGAATAAAATAAAAGTAGCTACACCTCCATCATCATCACTGCCACTCTCTTCCAGCTACTGCTACATTGTGACAAATGCCCAATAAATTGCTAATGATTTAAGTGAATTTACTTGCATTTTCTTTATTAAGAAAATTCTGAATTCTTTTAATTAAAATCTTTTCTCCCTAATTAAACTGGTTCAAGTTGTTTTTACATAATCTTTTAAAAATAAATGGATACATTAACCTCACCTCTGACTATCTTGTAAGATGAAAATGCCTTGCCAGAGGTTGGATAAGACGAGAATGTGTCAGTGTCTTAGAAGGTATACCATGCCAGAAAATATGACAAAAGTAAAAGAGGCATCTACTAACCCCTTTTCTCTGTTAATCTTTACTCCTAATCCTAGACACTCCTCTAATTCATTTCTTTGCTTGTGCATGGCATGAATATTTCAAGCACTTGAACTCGAAAATTCTGGACTATTCTGTTTTTCCTGTCCCTCATCCTCGTCATGTGCTATTACATCGTCTGTCTCCTCAAAACTGTGAAACCAGCTCCATGACTGAATCGATGTAAAACTTCCTCTCTTAATTCACAGCTAGTCTTTGTCCTTTTCTTCTCATCTGTACCTACAAACAAATTACCCTCTGAAACACAGAATCTGTTAGGACTCTTCAGTGAATATAGAATATGAATGGGCCAGGCTCAGCAATCTGGAATTAAGTCAGTGCAATCTTGGCCACTCACATACATGTTCTCTTAAGCCATTTCTCTTGCTGCGCCTCTCCCACCCTGCTGATGTATTGCCGTTCCGTGTGCCTATACTTGCCTGTGCTCTTTTGCTCAAGCTCTCTCTTCTGTGGCTCTAGAATGTAAGGAGTCCTCCCTCTCCATATTGACCAAGTGACAATTTATGCTTCCCCTTCCTTCAGATCCATATTAATATTTCCTCATCTGTTTTTCTCAGGCAGAGTGCTCTCTTCCTGGTATTGCCATCACTTCTTTACTATAGACCTTGCCACAGTCTGTCATGTATTACAGTCAGAATTTCTCTCTGCAGGTGCAGTGGCTCATGCCTGTAATCCCAGCACTTTGGAGGCCAAGGCAGGTGGATCACAAGGTCAGGAGTTCAGACCAACACAGCCAACATAGTGAAACCCCGCCTCTACCAAAAATACAAAAATTAGCCGGGCATGGTGGCAGGCACCTGTAATCCCAGCTGCTTGGGAGGCTGAGGCAGGAGAATTGTAAACCAGGAGGTGGAGGTTGCTGTGAGCAGGTGCACCACTGCCTCCAGCCTGGGCGGCAGTGAGCTTATCACAAAAAAAAAAAAAAAAGGAATTTATCTCTCTCTCCACCTCAAATGGATTGCCCAGGCCACTCAAAGGACATAAAGCATTCATTTGTGTTTGTCTGCCTCTATTGCCTAATAACTAGGAGCACACACAGATATCAATATTTGTTACTTTGAATTGAAATAGCACTGGAAAGTCTCTTAGAAATGTATCTTAAATAAAAGAAATTATTGTCAGTTCAGCACATTACCTGCCTAGTCTCACCTGGAAAAAAAAAAGAAGAGAACATTTAAGAAACTAAAGACAGAAGATTCAACTACACTTGGCAACCTAAGAGGCAAGTATGGACAGTTCCTTGGTGGTCGTAAAGCAAGGTAAGCATTCTTTCATTCACTGACTTCACATATTTTCACTTCCTTTCTTGGATGTGTGGTGTCATGTTGGCCCATTTTTAACAGTTTAACAAATAAAACAAATGCATGGAAGATTCAAAATTCATAAATGTAAAAACATATTAATGTGGATAGAAAAGAATTACTCATGTGCTATACAGAAATACCATAATATCAGGAAGGATATATGTTATACACACATGAAAAAGTACATGTTACACTGATATGAAGAGACGACAAACAAAGAGGCAGTGCAGAGTCACAATAATTCGCTAATCTTGAAACAAGCCGTGAAAATTGCCAACTGAACATTTAAAAAACAGCATTTTCTAATAGAATCTAGAAGACATTGATTGGTCTAACAAGTCTTCCATGTGGCATAAGCAATGTGCTATATTGTTCTTGTCAGAAGAGATGAAGATTTTTTTGCAGAGATGGAGTCTCGCTCTGTTGCCCCAGCCTGGAGTGCAGGGGTGCAATCTCGGCTCACTGCAACCTCCGCCTCGCAGGTTCAAGCCATTCTCCTGCCTCAGCCTCCCAAGTAACTGGGACTACAGGCACCCAGCTAATTACATATTTTTATTGAGGGCTGGAGTTTCACCCACGTGTTAACCAGGATGGTCTCGATCTCCAGACCTCATGATTCGCGCCCGATTCACGCTAAATATATGAAGGCGGGTAGGTCCTTGCGCTTCCTCAGTCTCCACCCAAAGTGCTGGGATTACAGGTATGAGCCCACTGTGCCTGGCAGAAGAGATGCGATCTTGGGGTCATATGTAAGTTCATCCACAAACTACTGCTTCTTTCTTAAGATTATATATGTATGAATGCTAAGTTCGCTCATTAAACAGAACTAATCTTGAAGAGTGATGCCAGGTGATTTTGTGTGTGTGTGTGGTACAGAGCTGTTGCGGGAACTCACCTAGCCTCTAACACAAAGAAAACTGTGTGAGTCAAAACACTGGCCAGAAACAGCCCACGGTGTGGTGGCTCACACCTGTAATCCCAGCACTTTGGGAGGCCGAGGTGGGCAGATCTCCTGAGGTCAGAGTTCAAGACCAACCCAAACCAACATGGCAAAGCCACGTCTCTACTAAAAATACAAAACAACTTTGGGTGCAGTGGTGGGCACCTGTAATCCCAGCTACTGGGAGGCTGGGAACATGAGAATAGCTTGAACCTGGGAAGAAGCGAGGAAGTTTGCAGTGAAGCCGAGATCACGCCCGTGCCACTCTGTGGCCTGGGCAACTTGAAGCGAGACTTCGTCTCAAAAAAAAAAACTGTGAAACCAGCTCAACTCTGAATCAATAGTAAAAGAAACCTGAGGCTGCCACCTGTGCCTGCTTCTCTTTGCTGTATGAAACCTGGATCCCCACATGACAGACACTTTTAAAAGAAGACACACATGCATCCAACAAGCAAATGAAAAAAGTTTAGTATTATGTATGGATCATTAAAGAAATGCAAATCAAAACCAAAATGAGATACCATCTCACATGAGCCAGAATGGCTATTATGAAAAAAATCAAAAAATAATAGATGTTGGTGAATTTATGGAGAAAAAGGAACACATACACTGTTGCTGGGAGTGTAAATTAGTTTAAGCATTGTGGAAAGCAGTGGAGATCTATTCAAGGCTAAAAGAGAATGACCATTCAACCCAGCAATCCCATTACTGGACATATGCAAGGGAATATAAATCATTCTACCATAAAGACACATGCACATGAGTGTTCATTGATTGCAGCACTATTCTAATAGCAAAGAACATGGAATCAACTGAAGTACACTATCAATGACAGATTGGATAAAGCAAATGTGGGATATATACACCATGGAATACTATGCAGCCACAGAAAAGAACAGAGATGTCTTTTCTGTTCTGAGTTAGTTGCTAAGGATATGTGCTCCAGCTCCATCCATGCTGGAGACTAGGAACAGAAAAACCAAATACTAGCAATGTTCTTAATTAGAGTCAGGGCTAAATGATGAGAACTCCTGTGACCACAAAGAAGGTAACAACTGGGCATGAACTAGTAAGGTCACTTTGGGGCTGGAGGGTGACAGAGGAGGGAGAAGAGAAAGGCAGAAAAGATAACTGTTAGGTACTGGCCTTAGCGGGTGATGAAATAATCTGTACAACAAACCACTGTTACACTAGTTCACATTATTAAAGCAAACCTTCACATGTATCCCCCAAACTACAAAATAAAGGTTAAAAGAAAACAATATAGTGAAACTTAGTCTCTTGGAAAAACAGGCTAGTTTTTAAACTAAAGTGGTAAACATCACAAGATAAACAAAAGCGGAAAAATTCATTTGGAGCAGGTGCTTTACAAGAAATAATAAGAAGTTCTTCAGGCGGAAAGCAAGTGACTACACAATACCGTTTGAATCTCGCCATTAAAAAAAAGTGCTGGTAAGATAATTGTAGCAGGTAAGTAAAAAAGAAAATGCCACAACTGCATACTTCATCTCTTTTTATTCTCTTAACTGAATTAAAAATCAATTTCATTTAAAAAGTGGGCCTTCATTTCAACAGCATCCTTTCTGAGATCTATTCCACCTCATGCTACGACCCTCTTTCTTCCTTTATTCCATCCTTTAAAAAACTTTACATTTGTCTGAAGACACTGAAGGAACTAATTAAATTGAGTTCATGCCTAAATATAGCAGCTGGTGGAGTCATAGCTTCCTAAAATAGTTGACCTATCAATTTACAGATAGTTAGTGAAAGATAGTTTTTACTTCAGTGACCCAAGTTTTAGTGATAAAACTTGATAAATATAAGCATATCTACCCATTTTTAAAAAATGCATTGTTTATATGAAAAGGAAAAGTATAACTTTTAGGAGAGTCATTAAAGAATCTTGATCCACCATCAACCAGCTATGTGTCCTCAGGCAAATTAACTATCCTTTCTAAACCTTGATTACTTTACACTTGGCCACTAGCCAAGGGCAATAAGACTTACTTCAAGGGGAGATATAAAATGGTTAGCATTTGCATCTCTTGGTAAATCTCATTGTCAGACTGGAGGAGGGCCTGAAACAGGAGGGGAGGTGAGTGAATCATGAAGGCATGAATTCCCCCGCCTTGTTCTTGTGAGGTGCTGAGGTTCGTGAGAGCTGACGGTTGAACGCAGTGTGTGGCATTCCTCTTGTGTCTCCTCCTCCTGCTCCACCATCGTAAGATGTGTTGCTTCCCCCTTCACCTTCTGCCATGATTGTGTAAGTTTCTTGAGGCCTCCCAGTCTGTGCTGCTTGTTAAACCTGTGGAACTGTGGAGTCAATTATACCTCTTTCTTCATAAATTACCACAGTCTTAGGTA